CATATAATTGAGTTAGCTTGTCCAAGTTCAGAAGAAAGATGTTACAGAAGTCACAAACACTACAGATTTATTAACACTAGCTCACACCAAGCATACCTAACAGCCTTCAGCATAATTACTGATGAAGTAGATAACAGGAAACACAGTGCAGAGGACATCTGAATTCAAGAAGCACATCAATTGTATGAGCCCACCACATCATCAACAAAGAAACAGCAAAATACCAACCTGATAAAATACACAACAACTTTGAAATTATCTTGATCAAACAAGAAAGAATATAATCATTAATGACCAGCTCTACAAAAGGGAAGCAGTGCTAAAAAGGCCACAGCTTAATGAAGTCAATGGAATATCTTTCACTGATTTTACTAGGCTTTGGATCAAACCCTAAGCAGAGAAAGTACGCTGCTGTTATCATAGGAAACCACAATAAGTTCTTCCTTATGGATCTTGGGTAAGGTGTAAATGATAACATTTGTTCAATCCAGTATCATAGAATGGAAAATAAACATCCAGGCAGCTCAGAAGCAGTGTGAAAGAGCAATTGCATCACTTAGCAAGTTGTAAAATAAAAAAAACAGCAACCTATATTGGTTTTGTCCTGTTCTGAAGTTAGGAATAGGCACCTCGCCACACAGACTAAGAAGTAAACTTGTTTTTTACCCCTCCCCACCCCCTTCAACTATCCTTCTATGATATAGTTGAATTATCCTCTTCATTTCAGCAAAGGGAGATATGTTTCTGAAGCTCCCCATGCTTTGGATGAAGTCTTGGTTGGAAATATCTAAAACACACAAAGGCAGGTTTATTAAAGCACACTGTTGACACTGCATTTGGGCCCAGCACCTATACCTTTGTTCCAGGTGGGCACAACCCTCAGACTGACCACAACACCTGCCAGTCGATAATAGGCGAATTTATTGATACAGAGTAAGAACAAAAAAGCAAAAATACAAACAATTAAACAATTCTAGATCTATCAATCCTAGGGCTGTCATCAGAGCCAAAGTACATGTGGTCAGGATGCAGGCTCCACTCTGAGGCTCTTTCTCTTAGGTGTCAGCAGTCTGGAGGTGAGATGCCGAGGCCTACAGGCCCCCTCCAGTGGGGTGCATGAGATGGGCTGCTGGTATGCCCTCAGTTCATGGTGACCTCAGGGACCCCTCTCAAGGAAGAGAGGGAGGGACAGGACAAAGGGAGGGACAGGCAGGAGGGAAAGGAGGGACGGACAAGACAAAGGTGTCATGACCCAAAGGGTATGATTGTGTGCACGCTTCAGCACTGCAGAATTATTTCCCGCCACAAGGAGCTTTCTTTGCATGGTGCAATTTCTTTGCAATTCTCAGTTGCATAGAGAAAATCCCAGTGCAAAGGAGTTCCCGCCACCCATATGTAAATTCGTACCCCACTATTGGCTGTTTCTAAATTATTCCCACGTGGCGGCTAGTGATTGCCTTGCTAGCCGTATAAGAGGCTTGAGCGGTTTCCGCCCAAGTTGGAGGAGGAGGACTCCACAACCATCTCGTGGAGGAGGAGAAGGAGGACTTCACATCTCGTGAAGAACTCTAAGTGCGCTGTGGAGCTTAACAAACCCAGTGTGTGCCTTAAGAAGGATATAGGGGCCTGATCAACCTCTAGCCTCTCCCCGTCGCCGCCTGATCCCTCGACGTACCCTTCCCTGCGCGCTTGGTCCACGGAGCCTAGCAAACTTCGTGTGTGTGTGTGTATCCAGAGCTCTTTCCGGGTTTAAGAGGCTCGAGTTTTCTACGGGTCTTGTTCGTGCAAGTTTTCTTTTCGTTTGTAACTGCAACTTAAGCGAAGTTTTCCTGCCTGCACCGCAACCATCTACGGTGTAAGTAAAATAATCTTTAATCAACCTCTACACGTCCGTGCCTAATTCTAGTCCGCCATGCCAAATTCCCCGACCTACGTGCCAGGGCTGCTGGCCACAGTCCGCCGTGTGCCCCCGAAAGCCTCGGACCGCTCCCAGCCCGCACAAAAGGGAGGGACAGGAGGGACTATTTGTTAATCTCAAGTCTCTGCTTTTGAATGCTCCTTCCCTCTTGATGGCTCTTTATCCGCGGCTGTTTCTGGTTGGTTGTCTCTCCATGGTCACACATCCACGTAGACATCCGGGCCTTGTCTTAATTTGTCCTTGTTTTGGGGAAACAGACCATTAGGCCCCCCTGCTCTCTGAGGCCTTGTTGCTGGTGTCACTTATCTCATGTTATGGGACATACTTTCTTTGCTTCCCAGGCTATTTCCTAAACTATGTGTCCTTGTTGTGCACGACAACTTGTCTGCCTTGAAGGCTGTGCTCTCATGATATGGCATGCTCTACTTCATTCTCCGGCTGTGTCCATCCGTTGGCATTGTGCTAGACAACCTGTCTACTTCTAGGGCCATGAGAAGCTGTGTGTGTGTTTCCCAAACTTTAGAAATCCAGTTAACCCTTGCTGCCCATCTTGACCCCTTATAATGCATCTATCTTTACCTGTAAGCCAATTCCTCAAAAAACAGGCTTTAAATACCATTTCTGAACCAACACACATGCAACGAAGTGTTCATACTCAATCAATTAGCTGTCAGTGCTATGAAAAGTGGAGCTCTTTTGAAAGTTGTAAATCAAGCAAAGCAAACAACAACTCCTACCTAAATTCCTACTTGGATTGCTTCAGTAATCAGCACGTGATCAAAAGGATGCTTCGGTGAGTTTGATTTCCAAGTTAGTTCCAGGGGACACATTTCCACATAATAAAACCACCACACAATTTGTCATGATTAGCTTCCTGGGCTCAGATGCTTCAAAGGGTATTGCGTGACTGAAGGGCATTGCAAAGTTGCATCTGAGATCTCAGGATGGGAATAAGTTTCAACTGCACTGAGATTCACTGGCAGGGTTGACAGTGTGTGACTAGTGGTCCCTGATTAGAATATAAAGAAATGCTGCAAATCAGAATTTGCATCTAGACCATGGTGGTGATAATCACACAATGCGTGCATAAATTTAATTAAGTCGAAATGGAGCGCATTGGCAGGGCTGAGTGAAGGTAATCTGCACAGCATCTGTCTAGCTAAAGCTTGTACAGCTTCTATGCCTAGCACAGACCATTAACATTAGCCTCTTAAAATGATCACCATCCTTTACCTCAAATTAAATCAAAAACATGATCCCTCACAATGCTCTTGCAGCCCCTTATGTAGAAACAAAGATTTAGCCTATTCAGACAATATTTGACCTAAATATATTTCCAGTGTACTTCCCCACTGGCCAAGACTCACCTCTGCTTCCTATTTTTCTTGAACTAAACTCATGATGGCACCATATTCTGCAATTAAATATAAAAGTCAGCCTGAAATGCCACACAGATAGTGTTCAAGGCCCCCACCCAACATTAAGCCTTCATTGCAGGAGGTCATGAAGCAGCCAGCAGAGCTAGGAGGAAGCAGCTGATTCAGACCCTGGGGGGTGCTAGCTGATGGCAGTGGGAGAACAGGAAAATTGCTTGCATCCCGGGGCTCTTGGTGATAAGGGAGGGAGAGTCTGATGAGGATCAGCTGAATATCAACTCCTTGTGGAAACAGGACAAAAAAAACCAAGATTGGGGGGGATGGCCAAGCAAAAATCTGACCAGATAAACTCCTGAAAGAACTGAGAATCTGGGTTTCTGACAGGGAAACCATCCTTTACAAAATATCTTTAAAGAAAAATGGCTACTTCATCTCTACGACAGGCTTCCTAAAGGCTCCTTAGCATGTAGAAATCTAGGAATGGATGTATAAAATCAGACAAATGGTCCATCTAGTCCAGTCTCTGGATGCAGCTTCAGAGATATTGCATCAAACTTTAGAATGGAGAGTTATAGACTAAGATGTGACTTCTCCTGTATGCAGGTTGTAAGTTTGTGGGTGGCATACTCTGAAACATTAAGGACTGATTGCCCTTGTTATCTATATGAGCTGTATAGTCCTCTTGTAAATATTTGTATCCTGTGGCAGTAAAAGTTCCACAGACCATACTGCATGACTACTCAAATATGAAAAGAGAAGCCTAGGAGGAGTGGAAAGAGCATGTCTACCCTCCAGGTCCTAGATATTCCAGGAAATGCTGGTGCCTGGACTTAATTCTGCTGAAGGTGATTTTCAGGCATCTTTTTGGACAACGATTGCTCAGGTAAAACACGAAGAGTTTTTCTGAAAATGTGTTCGGAGTCACCATAATCTACAGTAGTCTAATTTTTTTCAAATAGTGTTTGGGTGAAAGGCTCACTTGGATGATAAAATATACATACTATACATACATACTATACATGTATCTAAATTTCCATGATTGTGCCAGTGGCATGTCATTCTTATAAATATTAAAAAGCAGTAGTACCAGGATGCAACTGTTGGAGAGTCTTAGTGGACAGTGCTAGCTGGGTTGTTCCATTAGGTGTACATGGGATTTGCCACTGGTGACCATAGCTATCAGTAGATGCAGTGTTGTTTTTCAGTGCACTATTTTAGATGCAGAAGCAAGACATTCTTCCAAATGGTGTTTGAGCCTTGGACTGGTCCACCAATGGTGCTGTTGTTTTGCATGGCCATTGGCAATTAGCTTCAAAAAGGGTCATTAATCCACTTACCTGGTCAGAGGTACTTTACCATTTTCTGAGCCTGAGTTGCAGTTTAGTAGGTAGTCTTCAAAGTCCCTAGATAGGCATCCTTTCCAATCACTTGCACATGATGGCCGTAATGTCTAGTTTTTCAGATCAGTCATCTGTTTTCTTCTTTTTGAGAATGGTGATGACATTTGCCTGCTTCTGTCCCTTGTCTAAAAGAAGTTTAATCATTCATAACTAATCCATAGTCTCAAAAGTTGCCAAACCATCTCTATTGTTCTTGAGGCCTATTTTGCGGTTTACTTTGCACTAGTTATGAGAACGGGGAAGAGGAATAAGGAAACACAACATATATGCACTAATAGTTGTTGCCTTTGCTTTTTAACCTCACAGAGGATAAATGAACCTTCCATTGCCAATGAAAGGACTGCATCAAGCAAGACACAACAGACGCCCAGAAGAGGACAAACAACTGGATCCCTGCAGCTGGGAAGGAAGGATAAAAAATATGTACCTTGAGAAAGAGAAATGGACAGTTCAAAGAGAGAAAGGGGTTTCATCCAAAGCTTTTTTTGATAGACAGAAGGCAGGGCAGGACAGCCTACAACAGCTTATGCATCTTTGAACCAATTAGTTGCTAAGGCTGCATACACCTGTACTAAATTTCTGACATTTAAGCCGACTTAATATTTTTAAGACATCTTAACTGTCAGAGCGTACACACATACGTGGAGCAGCGTTGACTTAAATGCAGTGCTGGACAATACACCTCCAAGGTGTATTATCTTGAGTCAAGTTAGTTAAGTCAGCTTAGCTCATAAGATGGCTGCCACCATGTCAAGGAGCTGTACATGTGTACACTCCAACATGGCTTAACTTAAGTCAACTTACTACATGTGTACACACCCTAAGGTGCTACCCTGCCCTGCCTTCTGTCTGAGGTTTTCTTCAGTTTACACACCTTTTTTAAAAACCTTTTCACAAATTACAATGAAACCCTTTAGAACTTTGTAAATCTGTTTGATAAGAATCGTGTGGGAAGGGGATGTCTCCCCTTTATGATGCATTTCAAGCTACAAATTTCCAAGATGGGCCTTCTGCTTATCTATCCAGATGTGATATTTTCAAAGAAAGCAAGCAGTGGAGATTCAAGTGCCAGAGTCCCATCTTTTCTACAATAACTCTGATTCTTCTAGAGAAGATAGATTTGACATTGATATTGTGACTGTGTGCGGTTTCCTGTGTACTTCCTTGTCAATAGTATGTTAATGCATAGAGATGTTAGCACAGTAAGGCCTGTGCCAATGCTCAGTGTTCCTGGAAATGTTTTTTCATCCTTAGACCAGTATTTGTACATTCATTTTGTTCATTTTGTTTCTCAATCGTTAAATTTGTGCAATGTAAATTTGTGCCTTAGAATAGAGTGGATATTCCCCTGCAGAAGGGAACTGTGTAGTCATAGAAAGCTCTTGCTGTGTTACAGGAGTTGACTAAAAAGCTATCACAGCTTCTTGTCTGTCAGCGAGAAGTATATTTGATCAATACTAAACAAGGTTGCTTTGGTAGCAAACTAATTCTGAGAAACATAAGTGAAATGCACCATAAACCTAATTCAGAGCTGGTATATAATCAAGATGATATGTTTTTTGGGCAAAGGACCTTCTCTTGTATGTTTGTGTTGATGTAACAAACCATAAGTAAGCACATTTCTACTGATGTCAGAGCGGCGCACATGACAGCTCTGCATTTGTCTTACCGTGAGTAAAACTACTATATGCAGGGCCTGATTCTCCACTGCCCTGTCCCTTGCTTACAGATTTGGAATAGTTCAGCAGAATGAATGCAAAGGGAGTATAAAATGCTACTCTTCTGATGGGACTGCTGAGCTTTATACCCTTCTCCCACTGGTGTCAGGGATACTGCATGTTGTAGAACACAATAAATAAGATTCTTAAACTGAACTAACATTTCCAAAGGTGAACTTGGTAGTGCAGTGACCTACCATATTACCTCTTGACCTTATAGGATTTGTGAAAGTAGCTCAATTTTCAATAATAGCTTGAAAAGTGATGTCTTGTATCTAGGCATCACAGTGTACGTAAGTGATATCTTTTTCACAGAGTACAAGTGAAAATATTATTTCTGCTCTTATTTATTCTGTCTGCTTAATTTAGGCAAAATGAACTAATCTTATGTTATGCTTTTATGATTTAAATCTAACAAGAAATAATGTAACACTTCATGTCTGTATTTTCCTATTACATACACATAATTTTCCCCTTCAGTAGAAGTCTCTAAGGGATAGTTTTTGTGCTAATGCACTCAACTGTTCCCATTTCAGGAGAAAAAAAATGCACTTCCAAGACTAGACTACTAAGTGATGTTACTTCTGGATATTTGGCATGTTTCCGTAAAGGAGCTCATCATTTATTATCTGAACTCATACTGAAAGATTGGATCAGGAATGTAGTACTAGAAATGGAAATAAGTAAATGTTTCATCCAGTTTGCATCATGCAGACTTTAACAACATTTACAGTATTATTTGCTAGCACCTTGTTTTAAATGTTATGATAGTGTCAGTGATAGGCCTATCACTTTTATATAGCAGTAGAGCAAACTAAAGAATTTTGGATTTTTCATGAAAATGGGTCAATAATATTTCTTCTATGCAAACTCTCACATAAAAATATCTTGTTTGATGAGTTATTCTAAGTAGGACTGGACTGTGATACTCTATAGCATGGGTGACTGGTGCCTCATGAGTCAGGGGAGACACTTGGCCCCCCAGCAGCCAGTCAGCAACCAGGGGGGGATCCCCCGCCATGGCCAGTGATGCTGAACAGAGTGGGGGGGTCTCCTGTGGCCGATCGTGCCAACCCGGAAGTGCCAGCGGTGCTTCTCCTGGCACCCACACTCTCTAGCCGGTGCTCTCGAGAGGGCACCAGCACTCCTGCCTGCCCCCCCGCCCATCACCTAAGCAGGGAATGCTGGCTGTGAGGGGGTGCACCAGCACTCTCAGAGGGTGCAGGTGCACCCCCTACATGTTGCCACTGCTCTATAGATGGGAGATCTCAAAAAACACATGCAGGAGGATATGCTGTTGCTGTTCTAACAAGTCATGCTTTAATCTGAATCAATAGTGAAACAGTGTTCTACTGTGGTATTAGTGGGCGCTGTGTTGCGGAAAACATGCTCAAGCCTCGATTATTCATATATTCATGATTTAGAGAGAGAGACAGGACTATCAGATCATGTACACTGACCTCGGGCATAAAGCAGCCATAAAAAAACCCCAGTAGTGATACCAGTGGTGTATTTTCAAGAAAGGCTTCCAGTATTGATATGACAGCATCAAAGCAATGCAGAATCCACCTCCATCTTTGATAGTTTGGTCCAGTGCTTAAGTAGACCACAATATTAATAAAATGTGTGTCTTATTTCTAATTTGAATGTGTCTGGCTTTAAATTCAACACTTTGGCTCTTGTTATGCCTGCCTCCACTAGATTAAAAAGTCTTTTAGCATTTGGCATTTTTCCCTCCTGGAAGTGCTTTAACATTGTAATGAAATCATTTTGTAATCTTGTTTTTGATAAATTAAGCAGATTAAGCTCCTTAAGTCTCATTCAAAGCCAATTTGTTCTTGTGCCAACATCCTCTTTAAGTCTAAGCAGCTCTACTGTTTCCCTTCCCAACTACCAATAGATTTAGAGAGAGATCATGTCCCCTTACAGTCCATGATATAATACCTGGCAACTTGACATATCAAACTTTCTTGGTCAGTACCATTTCTTTAGGATCTCAAGTCTAGGCCATATGCTGGGAGCAACAGGCACATGCAGAGTTAGGGCTAGACTACTGCTGCTCCAATGGTGAAAACAGGCCTCTAAACAAGAAAGTCTCCCTTCATGGAGCTGCTAGTGCTAAAACAACCTTTATGATTGATGTGGACCCAGTTACTATGGTGAAGCTTTCTGTCTGACTCGCTCTCTCTCAGGGCCTTGTTACACATTGCAATTTGAGGCACTCAAATGTTCATTGGTGTTAGTTCTAGCTTGAGTTTGAGGCAGTCACATTTCAGCTAGGGACAGACATTTCACAAACTGGTTTAAGTGATCAGAAACTGGTTAAAACCTGTAAAAGAACATAAGTTCAGTGCACATAAACTAGTTTCAAAATGGCTAAAACTGGTTTGAGATAAACCTGGTTCAATGTAGTATCAGACTTAACTGATTTGGGTCAAACAAACTGAATTATGCAGTGTCTGTCCCAGACCCCTTTCTGCTTTTAGTTAAACAAGAGTCCCCCAGCATCCCAGATGCTTTGCAGCCCTGGGTTGTGCTGTCTGCTCCAGAAAACAGGGCTGCCCCCGCCCCTCTGCTCCCTAGCTGGAGCTCCAGCACAGACTGCAGGCACAGCAGGGTCTGCTGGCTTCCCTCTGCTCCCCCAACCCCTTGCTGCTTGCTGTTCAAGCAGGGATCCCCCCCTCCCACAGCACAGCCCCCAGCCCCACAGACCCTAGGCATGTGGTATGCTAGCTAATACTGAGAGGTGCGTGTGTGTGTGCGCATGTGTGCGTGTGTCTCCAATTTCACTGCGACAGACAGACAGAAGTGTCCACTTCGGGCCTTTTAGAGCTAATCAACAGGTAGGTGGTAATGTCCCTCCATTCCTCCCTTGGAAAAAGCTGTTTAAGAAGAACTTCAACTAATGAGAGAGGCTTTTGTTTTGTTGATGGGCTGCTAACCCCTGTGTTATCAGCTCCCTGCTGGCTCCCTCACCTGTCAGTTTTGCTGCAGACAGTGTGAAGAAGCAGGTACAGGGAGGCTGAAAAGTTCATTATCATCCACATATGCATGCACTGCATATACCACCTTTGCCTCAGAGTGCTAGACCGGGGCTGGGGGCTGGCAACACTCCCACCCCTTGAGCAGCGAGCAGGGAAAAGCCTGGAATGGTGCAGTCAGGGGGGGGGTTTACACCCCTTCATAAATCGGCGCAGTCTGCCAGGGCCTGGCTGCATCCCCATCAGCTCAGCACTGTAGAAGGGAAGGGAGGCCTACTCTAGCATCAACCGGCTTCTAGCCTGAGCCACTGCAGGCATGTGCTGGCATTTCCTCAGTCCAGAGGGGATCTCTGTGTGGTTACAAACCATTTCAGCCTAGCCAGGTTAGACTAACCTGCAAAGATTGAATTAATTCAAGCGCCAGCTTTAAAAATGCCTGTCCCTAGCCTTTAAAGCTAAAAACCTTCTCTGTCTCCTACCTGCACATCTGTGATTTGCCACTAGAGGGCTGATGAGCAGGGGCCTGACTAGGAGCTACAGCTGTGAGTTGCCACTACAAGGTTTCTATCCCTGCTGTTGCCCAGGGCGGGGGGAAGGAATATGAAGCTGGGAAGCAGAGAATTAATGGAATGGGGGTGGGTAATGAAATGGGAAGTGGAAAAGAAAAGGGGTGTGGGGGAAGGGTGGTGAAATGAAGGAAGTCAGCTACTGAAGGGTAAAATAAAAAGTAAAACAAAATTAAGAAATATAAGGAAGTAAATTAAAGAAGCTCTCATATTTTAATAAATTGGGAGTTGGGCATGGAGGATGCTGTTCGGGCTTCTCAGGGTGGCTGTGAGGTGGGAGCAATGAGGGAAGGCCCTTTTGGGGGCCTTCCCTCTTACTTCCCCTGCTTCAGGAAAGAAGTCCCAACTCATGGGGACCCAATTTGGCCCCCTACTTTGTTTCCTCCTCAGCCCTCCTAGATCCCATTCCTGGACCTGTCCATGCCCTTCAACCTGGATATCTAGCATGTGTTCTGCAGGCTGTTTACACAGAGTTACACCTCTGGGAGCAAGAGAGAGAGTTGGCTTGCCAGAACCACCCCCTCAGCTGTAGAGTTCAGGGGAGGGTGGAAAGTTTGTCCACACAAAACAGGAAGGTGGTGAAAGGGACCCTGCATCCTGAGATACTAAAGGACTGCAAGTTGGGCAGCTCATCTGTAGGAATATGGTTACACATTAATGGAACATGAGCTGGGCGACACAGATTAGAGATAAACCTGCCCTGGGGTGGCATAATTTAAAGCCACCTAAGTGTGATTAAAACTAATTTCAGGTGTTAATGTGTGGACAATCCAGGGGTTAAGAACTCCAGGAGCTGCCTAAAATTAATGTAGAACAAGGCCTTCTGATTACAGAAATTGTTTTAAATTAAGGCTTTGATTCAGCAAAGCTCCTAAGCAAAAGATTAACATTAAGCACACTTTTCTACATTATTTAGCTTGGACTACTCATATACATAACATCAGCACTTTGTGATGTCTGCTCTTGAGAAAATAATTTCTTTAGGGCAATGATCACATTTTTGGATATCAATAAGGCTAGTATGCTTCCAAGCAGAGATCAGCAATAACCAGCAGTTCTTATGTCAATACCGAACGACAATTTCGTTGTATATTCAAATAGATCCTGAATCAGATTTTTTGCATTAAGTTCATAGTCAGGTAGCTCTCCATTTGTCTACAGTGTTCACAAGAATTGAACCAATTCCTTTTTCTAGGGGTTCCTTCACACCACATCCCATCTACTATGGCACTGTCTTCAGCTTATTAGAGAAAGAAGGGGGGGGGGGGGGGGGGGTTCTACCTTGTATTTGCATAGAAAAAACATATTGTTGGTCTTACAGAAATGAAGTTAGGGCAACCATACATCCTGTTTTTGCTGGGACAGAGGGGAAGGGTTTTTGGAAATGGGACAAGAGCATTCACTTGAAGAAACCAGCCACCCTTCCACACTCACCAGTGCACTCAGCTCCAAACCTCCCATCCCCATCCCTGTCCCCTGCTCACCAACACCCACTATCTGAGGATCAGAAACAGTTGAACATGCCAGAGAGCAGGGAGTGAGGATTCATAGATTCATAGATGCTAGAGTCGGAAGGGACCTCAATAGATCATCGAGTCCGACCCCCTGCATAGGCAGGAAAGAGTTCTGGGTTCAGGTGACCCCAGCTAGATGCCTATCTAACCTCCTCTTGAAGACCCCCAGGGCAGGGGAGAGCACCACCTCCCTTGGGAGCTCATTCCAGACCTTGGCCACTCTAACTGTGAAGAAGTTCTTCCTAATGTCTAGTCTAGATCTGCTCTCTGCTAGCTTGTGGCCATTATTTCTTGTAAACCCTGGGGGCACCTTGGTGAATAAAACCTCACCAATTCCCTTCTGTGCCCCCGTGATGAACTTATAGGCAGCCACAAGGTCACCTCTCAACCTTCTCTTGCGGAGGCTGAAAAGGTCCAGGTTCTCTAGTCTCTCCTCGTAGGGCTTGGCCTGCAAGCCCTTAACCATACGAGTGGCCCTTCTCTGGACCCTCTCCAGGTTATCCGCATCCCTCTTGAAGTG